CACCAGGGGGCAGCTCCTGCATTGAGCGTCTGCCCCCTGGGGGTCAGTGCGCATCATAGCGACCAGTGAATCTGCCATTCGGTCGATTTGCATATTATTCTTTTATTATATAGGATATTGGGTCACAGGGTACCCGGATTAAACATTATTTTGGGGTATGTCTGGTTTGAATCAGTAGACTCAGTAGGCTGTCCCCCCAATGTGGATGGGCATCATCCAATCCATTGAGGGCCTGAATAGAACAAAAAGTGGAGGAAGGAGAAATTCACTCCCTTTTCCTTCCTGCCTGCCTGCTGAGCGGGGACATGGTCTTCTCCTGCCATCAGACTGGGATTTATACCATTGGTTCCCCTGGTTCTCAGGCCTTCAGGCTGGAAGTGGAATTACACCACCAGCTTGCCTGGGTTTCCAGCTTGCAGACAGCAGATCCTGGGACATATTATGTTGTAATAAACTCATCATAAGTTGAAAATATTATAGGTTGAAAATGCATTTAATACACCTTACCTGCCAAACATCATAGCTTAGCCTGGCCTACCTTGCATGTGCTCAGAACACTAACATTAGCCTATAGTAGGGCAAAACCATCTCACTGCCACTAAACATCACAACAGAGTATTGTACCACATACCACCAGACCGGGAAAAGATCAAAATTCAAAATCTGAAGTCCAGTTTCTACTGAATGCATGTTGCTTTCGCGCCATCATGAAGTTGAAAAATCATATGCTGAACTATCATAAGTCAGGGACCATCTGTATATATCTCACTGGTTCTGTTTCACATGTGTATTAGGCAGGCGAGATCATGCTGCCTAACAAAGGACCCCAAAGGTCAGTGCCGGACATTAGAGTTGGTCGTCCATATGACACAATCACCACAGATCGGCAGGGTTTCCGAGCCACATAGGCACCAGTTGGACAGAGGCTGGAGCAGCCTCCGCAGCTGCTGGTGCAGTGGGAGAGACAGAGGAGACTCCCACGTCAGCTTCAGTGTTTCCAGCCGGAAGTACCACACAACCCTTCTGCCGTTTCATTGGCCAGGTCACAGACACGTGGTCCTGCCTGACCACAAGGGACAGAGACGTGAAGGCATGGGGTTTGGGAGGAGCAAGTGGAATATTTGGAGTATTACTCTCTGTGACACCCAAGGACCAGCAATCTAGTCTTTCTGGAAAAACTTTTACATAGCCTCCAACAGATATTTACAAGGATGTGCCTCCAGCCTCATTTATTAGAGTTGAAAATTCTCTCTTGCCCTGTATCCCACGGCTCACAATTTCACTTCATGATCAATGAACATGTGTTGAGTAAGCAAATGAAAAAAAAAAACAAGTCCCATCAGAGGGGAATAGAATGTGTCCTATGAAAATAATAAAGAACCAGATCTAGGCTGTACAAGGGATTTGATTTACACATATCGTGTTAGTTTCCTCAGGCTGTCGTAATAAATGACCACAGACTGGGTGCCTTAAATCAGCAGACACGTATTCATTTCAGAAGTTTAAGGTGTGTTTTATTTGTGAAGGCTAGAAGTCCAAAGTCAAGGTGTTGGCAGAGCTGGTTCTTTCTGGAGGCGTGTTCCTCTCCTCTCTTCTAGTTTCTGGTGGCTGCTGGCAATTAGTGATATTCCTGGGCTCGTGGCTGTGTTACTCCAAACTCTGCCTCAGATTTCATGAGGCCTTTTCCTGTGTGTGTGTGTGTTTCCTCTTCTGTCTCTTATAAAGTCATTGGTCATTGGATATAGGGCCTAAGTGGTTAATCCAGAAAAATCTCATCTCAAGATCTTTAACTTAATTACATCTTTCCCCCCCAAATAAGGTCATATTTACATGTGTTGGGGGTTAGGACATCAGCATCTCTTTTTGTGGGTTGCCATTCAAACCACAACATTGGTTGATCTGAGTAGAGCTCATCTTATGAGGAAAAAAAAAGTTACAGAGTGAGGCTAACAATTTTGATCATTTTTATAAGTTAAAAAAGATATTGGGTGTCTCTGGGGGAAGAACTGGGTGGCTGGGGCTGGGTGCACAGTGGGGCTTGCCATCATATATCTGTGTGTATCTGTTGAATTAAAAAACTTGATTGAGGTATACAGGACATACAATAAAATGAAAATATTTAATATTTATTAAATAGTAAAATATTTGATATTTAAATGAATCAAAACTCATCATTCCAAAACTCCACATGTATGTACCCACAAAACCATCAGCATAATTGTGATAGTGAAAATTGTCAGCCTTTTCTCCATCCACTTCACCCCCAACCCCAAGAAAATAGCTGGATGCCCTGGCTGGTTTTGCTCAGTGGTTAGAGCCTCGGCCTGCAGACTGAAGGGTCCCGGATTCAATTCCGGTCAAGGGCACATGCCCACGTTGATGGCTCAATCCCCACTGGGGGTCGTGCAGGAGGTGGCTGATCCATGATTCTCTCTTCATTGATGTTTCTCTCTCTCCCTCTCTCTTTCTCTCTGAAATCAATAAAAATACATTAAAAGAAAAAAAGAAAGAAACCAGCTGGAACAGAACACAGTGGCCTGTCCAAGAAAGGGTGGTCCCTTTCCCTTCATTTAATTATTCAATCACTAGAGGCTCGGTACATGAAATACGTGCACAGTAGGGTCCTTAGGCCTGGCCGGTGATAAGGGCCAATCAGGGCCTTCCGACTGTCGGCTGGGGCCTTTCTTCGTTCCGCACCGCCCCCTGTTGGTCAGTGCACATCATAGCGAGCAATCAAACTCCCGGTCTCCCAGTTGAACTCCTGAGGGGACACTTTGCACATTAGCCTTTTATATACAGGCAGTCCTCGGGTTACATTGGACTCGACATACGCTGTTTCGTGGTTATGTTGCCATCTCCCATTTATTTATTTAAAAAAAGTTCAGTCATTTCAACGTATGTACATATGTGCTTTATGTTTTTTATTATTTATTTACCACAAGTAAAGGTCAGGAATTGTTATCTTTCTTTTAAATTTTTTTTACTGATTCACTTCACTACTGCTGTGTATGTGCTCCATGTGAGTGATGTAGGTGCTTTTGTAGGTGGGTTCCTACTTACAGCAAAAATTGCGTTACGTCGCATCATAGGAACGGATCTCCGACGTAACCTGAGGACCTACTGTATATAGATTTATACCATATGGACTCCTGGGTATTTAATTCTTTGGATCACAATGATCTTTTAAAACTCAAATCAGATTCCATCATCTTCTACTAAAACTTTCCAGAGGCTTCCCTTTATATTTGAGTAAAATCCAAGTGCCTTGCTTTTCTACAAGCCCCATGCACTCTTTTTTTTAAAAAAAAAGTTTTAATTGATTTTTAGAGAGAGGAAGGGAAAGATAGAAACACTAATGAGAGAGAGAAACATTATTGATCAGCTGCCTCTTGCACGTTCCCCACTGGGGATTGAGCTCACAACCCAGGTATGTGCCCTGACTGGGAATTGAACCAGTGACCTCTTGGTTTATGGGTCGACACTCAACCACTGAGCCACAACAGCTGGGTGCTCATACACTCTTTACCTGCTTCCTGGTCCTTGTCTGTTTTCCTTGCTCATTCCTGCTCTGGCCCAACTGGCCTTGTTGCACTCTCTCAGTTATACCACCCTCACTCCCCTGAAACCATTGTCATTGTTGGAATATTCCTTGTCCTCACTTTCACAGAACCCCTCTCTGACTGCCCTAAGTAGCGTTCTTCCTATCTGAAATAAGAAATGTATTTCCCTGTTTATCATCTGTCTTGTTTACTGTTGTATGCACTGCGTTTAGAACATAGTAGGTGCTCAATAAATATTTGTTGAATAAATGTAAGCTAGGCTGGAAGAATAAGGAGAGTGAGATCCATTCACTTCCACTCTGATTATAGTCACACTAGCTAGCTTGCATCTGAAATATGCATATGCCAGATAGTCAGGGGCACTACACTGTAAGTCTTGGTTTCATCATGTGTAAAATGAAGATATAAGAGGACCAAAACTGTTGCAAAGATTAAATGAACACACACGCAGATGATACTCAGCAGACATGCAACTATTATTAGTATCATGTGTAAAATGTACATAGAATTGTGAGCTCAGAACAGTGTCTGGCACATGTAAAGGGCTATATAAGCGATTGATGCTATCATCACTATCATCATCATCACACCAGGCCGGGCCCTCATCTAAAAGATGCTTTAATTGAATCTCATTGTGGTTTTGACCCTGGGTGCTTGCCAGACTTCCCCGCTGACATCCCTGGGCTGGGGATTCAGGCCCTTGTGGACCACAGGCTCTTATCGCCCCGCCCACGGGCCTAAACTGCCCCCGGTCTCCATAGAAACCCACCAGCCACGGAGGGGCGTGACGCCATCGAGACGGACAGGGGCCTTCGCCTATCGAGTCAAAGTCATCTCGGTGTGAGGCACAAACGGGACCTCTGACTGGTGCGTCCTTGCAGGAAGGCGGGAATACGTCGATAACCGCGGGAGCCGTACCGTACCTACCAATCAGTGGCCGAGATGGCTGTGATGGACAGACATAGAGGGAAGAGGCCCGGCGTTTGGGCTTTTACCCAACCAGCGGTCCACAATGTCGTGAAAAGGCCAATAAGGAGGCGGCGGGGGTGGGGCGAAGAGGCCGGTTGCTCCGGAAGTGGAGGGAGGGGATGAAAATGGCGCCCAGCTCGAAATCGGAGCGGAACAGCGGGGCCGGGAGTGGCGGTGGCGGCA